TCCTGGTGTGTGTTCCTCTCCACAGGTACCTCCGGAGAGTGGTCAGCCATCCAACCATGCTGCAGGACCCAGACGTCAGGGAGTTCTTGGAAAAGGAAGAGGTCAGTAGCGTGGAATAAGGTAGCTCCAAGTTTCTTGGAAGTGCTGAAGGCAATGATACCTAAGCAGTTAAGGAGGCAAGATGTTGCAAAACTCTCCTCTTAGAGTGGGAGTGGGAACTGGGGTGGTGGGTTGACAGCAGGTACCCACCAAAGCTGCTCCATCATCCCCTCAGGTGCACAGGGGGAGAAAATATAATGAAAGGCTTATGGGTTGAGATAAGGGCAGGTAGAGATCACTCAGCAGTTACCTCAGGCAAAATGGAATCATGGAATGGTTTGGATTGGAAGAGACCTTAAAACCCATCTCGTTCCCACCCCCTGCCACGGACAAGGACACCTTCCACTATTGCAGGTTGCTCCAAGGCCCATCCAACCTGGCTTTGGACACTTGCAGGGATGGGGCAGCCACAGTTTCTCTGGACAACCTGGGCCAGGGCCTCACCACCCTCACACCCAACAATTCCTTCCCAATATCCCATCTAACCCTGCCCTCTGGCAGTGGGAAGCCATTCCCCCTTCTCCTGTCCCTCCAGGCCCTTGTCCCAAGTCCCTCTCCAGCTCTCTTGGAGCCCCTTTAGGCACTGGATATGTTTCTAAGGTCTCCCCAGAGCCTTCTCTTCTCCAGGCGAGCACCCCCAGCTCTCCAGCCTGTCTCTGTCTTTTCACATCTCAAAGCAAATTTTTCCATTCCTTTCCAGCTCCCAAGAGCAGTAGGCACCCAGACTCTGAGTGGAGCAGGAATACTGAAGATGTTCAACAAAGCTACAGATGCTGTCAGTAAAATGACCATCAAGATGAATGAATCAGACATAGTAAGTGTTGGGACACCCTGGGCTGTCCCTGTCCTCGCTCCGGAGCCATGTGCCCTTCCCAGCCCCAGCTTTGGGTGCGGGGTGCAGGGAAAGCCCCACGTGTGGGAATCAGCTGTGGATTTACCCTTTCCAGTGGTTCGAGGAGAAGCTGCAGGAGGTGGAGTGTGAGGACCAGCGGCTGCGGAAGCTGCACGCGGTGGTGGAGACCCTGGTGAACCACCGGAAAGGTGACCGGATCAGCACCACGCACTCCGGGGCTTGGGCTGTGACAGTCACACCCTGGGCAGTGCCTGAGGGGGGTTAGCAGTGCTGGGTGTCCCAGGGACACTTCTGAGTCTCTTCATCACGGGAGACAGAAATAAAAATGTCACCCCAATTCCTCTGTCCAGCTCCACAAGCTTGGGATGGTGGTGTGGAAGGGAACCTATGTCCTATGGGATCACGGAATCCCAGAATGGTCTGGCTTGGAAGGGACCTTAAAGCTCATCTTGTTCCATCCCTCTGCCATGGGCAAGGACACCTTCCACTCTCCGAGGTTGCTCCAAACCCTGTCCAACCTAGCGTTGAACACTTCCAGGGATCCAGGGGCAACCACAGCTTATCTGGCCAACCTGGGCCAGGGCCTCACCACCCTCACAGGGAAGGATTTCTTCCCAATATCCCATCTATCCCTCCCCTCTGGCAGTGGGAAACCATTCCCCCTTGTCCTGTCCCTCCAGGCCCTTGTCCAAAGTCCCTCTCCAGCTCTCCTGGAGCCCCTTCAGGCACTGAAAAGGGCTCTGGGGTCTCCCTGGAGCCTTCTCTTCTCCAGGCTGAACAGTCCCAATTCCCTTAGCCTTTTCTCGTGGGAATGAAGGCTGCTGTAGCAAACCTGAGCAGACCTGATCTTATGTCTTCCCACCCATCCTCTGGCAGGGAGTGAGAATGTTTTCCTTCCTCTGCATGTTTTGACTGACTCCTGCAAAGCTGTGCCTGTCCCCCTGCTCGGCTGCTTCCCTTCTCCTCGTGCCTGGAAGCTGCTGGTCTGACCCAGCCAGCATTGGCCCTTCCAGCTGATGTCTCCTGGGACTCAACTCCTCGGGCTGAGCCCTGGGCTGGGGAGCACCCAGTGCAGCCCAGCCCATCTCCTGACTCTCATCCCTTTTCTAGAGTTGGCATTGAACACAGCCCAGTTTGCCAAGAGTTTGGCCATGCTGGGAAGCTCGGAGGACAACACGGCCCTGTCCCGGGCACTGTCCCAGCTGGCTGAGGTGGAAGAGAAGATTGAACAGCTGCACCACGAACAGGCCAACAATGACTTCTTCCTCCTGGCTGAGCTCCTGGGGGACTACATCCGCCTGCTCTCAGTTGTGAGGGTAAGCACTGCTCCTGCTCCTTGTACCCAGCTTAGACTTAGGGATGCCAGGAGGTCTTCCAAACTCAAGCAGAGGGCACACATGGCATGGCTTCTCCAGGAACAGGGAAACTTGTTGGTTGTCCAGGCGAGCATGTAGTTAGGTTGGAAAATTGTGGTAGGTGAGGCCTGGCCATGCCACTGTTCTCCAGAGGGGATGTGGAGCAAGTTCCCAGCTTCTAAGTGGCCTCAGCCCTTCCAGAGGTGAAGGCTGAGGCTGTGAGCTGATGACCTGTGATCCAAGTGGTGCAGATAGGCCTGCCAAGTGCCTGCTGGGGAAGAGCCCTAGTCTTCAAGTCTGGTGTTCTGGCCTTCTTGCCGGAGGTTGGAAAAGAAGCAATCCCAAGAGAGCAACAGGTCTTGCAGGCTGAGCCCTTCCTGCCCCAAACACATCCTGCCTCTGAGCAGGAGTTTCTGCAGGCTACAGAGGCCAGGACACAACCTCCCTTGTCTGCCAGTCCATACTGGGAGCTGTGGGTGCTCCAGAGCAGGATCCAGTCTGTGTTCTGGCTCAGCTTTGGTCAAGCACCTCAGGTATCCCCTTGGCAAGTGTCTCCTTGCCAGCAGAGCCCCTTGGAGCCGCTCTGGCAGCACAGAGCTCAATGTCTGCCCCCTCCTTGCCTCCAGGGAGCCTTTGACCAGCGCATGAAGACCTGGCAGCGGTGGCAGGATGCCCAGACCATGCTGCAGAAGAAGAGGGAGATGGAGGCCAGGCTGCTGTGGGCCAACAAACCTGACAAGCTGCAGCAGGCCAAGGAGGAGATCTCAGAGGTAGGGAATGAGGAGCATGGGATCTCTGCTCTGCTCCTACCCTCTGTGCTCCAGCAGGGGACCTTCTGGGCTGGGATCGTCAGGGCTGGGGAGGACCTCCTGAGCAGGAGGGACAGGTGTCTAAGGCCAAGCTGCAACAAGGGATAAGCCAGCCTTGAGTGGAGCTGCTCATGGTCCCACCTCCTGTGACTTCCCTGCTGAGCTTCCTGTGGTGAAGAGGACCAGGAACACCAGGCTCTGCTCCAGCAACACCTCTCACACATCCAGTCGTGGCTACAGACACCCTTGGAGAGGGAAGCAGGATTCCTTCCCCTGCCCTGAAACAGCACACTTCCTCTCTCCACAGTGGGAGTCCCGTGTGACACAGTATGAAAGGGACTTTGAGCGGATTTCTGCTGTCATCCGCAAGGAAGTGATACGGTTTGAGGTATGTTTGGGGCAGCCCTCGGCCGGGAACGCCAGCCTGGGTCAGCCATGGGGCACCTGGGTATCCAGCAGTATCCATAAATCCAGACATGTGTGAGCTGGGGCATTGCTGAGGGCTTTTGGCTGAGGCAGCTTCTCCACAGGGTTTCTGTTCAAATGAAGGTGGGTGGGCAAAGATCCTCCATCTCCCAGGCCCTTGTGCCGGTCCTCTCGTGAGGCCCCAGGAGGAACAGGAACATCCTGGCAGTTTCTCTTTCGGGAGGGTTTTGGTATTTGATTCAGCCTCATGCCCATCTCTTGCAGAAAGAGAAATCCAAGGACTTCAGAAACCACGTCACGAAATACCTTGAGACGTTGTTAAACTCTCAGCAACAGGTGAGTGGCCCCTGATGTGGTTTTACCTCCAAGTTCAGGCCCAGGTTGTGAACCCCTCAAGTGTGACCCCCCTCTGCAAGTGCGTCCTCAAGGCTCCTGACTCTCTCCCTCTCTCCTCCCTGCAGCTGGTGAAGTACTGGGAAGCGTTCCTGCCTGAAGCCAAGGCCATTTCGTAATTGGACCGAGCGGACAAACCTTTATTTTGCCTTTTTTTTTTTTTTTTTAATATATATATACACTATACCTCCTCCTCTTTTCCACGTGAGCGACCCCTCGTTCCACATGCTGGAGCTGGTAGAGGTGTCACCCCCAAACGAGCAGCTTGCGAGCCAGTAACTCTTCTAACTGTATATTTTTCATTTAGCAACATATATTTTCTTACTGAAGAAAAACTAGTTTCCTGCTTCCAGACCAGACCCACAGCCAGGGGGTTATCAAGATCTGGCAAATGTCTATTTTTCAGGCAGGGTTTTAGGGCTCTAATGATTTATCTTACTCCTGCAGTGCCATTAAAATTCTGTAATAAAACTTCTATCAGGGCAAACAGGCTCTGAGTGTTGGGGGTGGGCGCGGGGAGAGCTAACGGCACATTCTGTGGGGTTTGGGGGAGGCAGTGGAGCCTCCCCCGTATTGTGTCAGGGGCAAGGGTGACCTTGGACACTGCCCTGGCCACCTGTCCCTGCTCCTGATTAGGCTTTGGCTCTCTGCCCTGCTCCCAGTGGGAGCCGTTTTTAGGATCTGAGCTCAGCAGGGGCTCTGTAGCGGTTCCACTTTGTGGCATTCCCTAAAATCCACTGAGAAGCCTTTTGGGGTGTGATGCTCCTGCCCCAACGTGCCCAGGGACGGGTTTGCCCCCTTCAACCTCCCCCCAGCCCCCCACGTGTGGATTTCACCAAAACCGATACCCCTTCTGCCTTAAAAAAGGGAAAACGCAGCTGGGTTCTGACTTCCCACTTTCCTTTCCCCATATCCCTGTAAAGCGGCGTCCCGGCGGCTCCTCCAGTCCCCCCCTTCTTCCCCTTGTGCTCGATGTGGGGTCGCAGGACCCTCCCCTGTGTGCTTTAGGGACCGTGTCCCCGCTGTGGGCGCTCGGGGCGGTCCCTCCCCGGCCCCGCAGCCCTTCCCCGCCCCGCGGCCCCCCCAGCCCCCCGGGCCATGATCGCCGTCTCCATCCCAGCGGCGGAACCCGCGGCGGCTTCGCGCAGCCCCGACAGGGCACACACGGTGAGCGGGGACTCGGGGGGGAGGTTTGGCTGCCCGCGGGGGTCCCCGTCTGCCCAAGAAGGGTGGAGGGGGGAGGTGTCTCTCTCTGCCCCGGGGTCTGGAGGTCCCCAGTTGTCCTCGAGCGTTCCCCGTCTGCCTCGGGAGTGGAGGTCCCTGCGTGTCCCCAGGGGTCCCTGCCGGTGGAGGGGGGTGGGGCCTGGTTCGGGGGTCCCTGTTGGGGGGTCCTCGTCTCTCCCGGCATGGCTCCACGTGCCCTGGGACTGGAGTCCCCCGCGCTCCGGGGGATTTGTCTCCTCCTGCCCCAGGGTTTGAAGGTCTCCAAGTGTCCCCAGGGGTCCCTCACCTGCCCCAGGAGTGGAGGTCCCTGTCTGGGGGGGGCACAGACCCTCTACCTTTGAAAGGGGGGTGGTGGTGTCCCTGGTCGGGGAGTCCCCTCTGCCCCCGTGGGTGGGGGTTACCGTCTGTCCGGGGAGGGTGGATGGGCGTGTCTCCCTCTGCCCCGGGGTCTGGAAGTCCCAGATGTCCCCAGGAGTGACCCATCTGCCCCAGGGGTCCCTGCTGGTGGTGGTGGGGGAGCTGATCCGGGGGTGCCCTCTTGGGGAAGTCCCCGTCTCTCCCGGCATGCCCCCACATCACCTGGGACTGGAGTCCCATGTCCTCCGGGGGATTTGTCTCCTCCTGCCCCAGGGTTTGAAGGTCCCAGGGGTCCCCCAAATGCCCCAGGAGTGGAGGTCCTGCCTGTCCCCAGGGGTCCCTGCCGGCGAGGGGCACGGACCCTCTACCTTTGAAAGGAGGGGTCCCTGCTCTGGCCCTCTGGCCCCCTAGGAGGGGGATACCTGTCTGCCTGGAGTGCCCTCACCCACCCTGGGACTGGAGGTCCCCAAGTTCCCACAGGACACCCCACGTATTCCGGGGAGGAGTTTGTCTCCTGCTGCCCCAGGGGCTGGAGGTCCCCAAGTGTTCCCTGAGGAGTCCCCACCTGCCCCATGGGCTGGAGGTCTCTGCCTGTGCTGGGTCCCTGCCGGGGGCACCCTCTGCCCTTGAAATTGGGGGTGTTCCTCTACCCTCTACCCAGAGGAATCCCCTCTGGCCCCAGAGGGGTAGGAGGGTCTCTGTCTGTCCTCAGGTACCCCCATCTGCCCCAGGCATGTGTGTCCTTCATCTGCCCCGGGGGTGGGATGTCATGAAGTGCCACCCCTCTGTCCCCAAATGCCCAGGAGTGGCAGTCCCTGCCTGCATCCAGGGAATCCCTGCCGGGCCGAGGTGTAGGGGGAAATGACACCGACCCTCTACCCATGGAAGGGGTGGGGAAAGAGTGTCCCTGGTGAGAGTGTGTCCCCTCTGTTCTTGGGGGGAGTCCTTGTCACCCCCTGTGCCCCTGAGGTGCAGGTGTGTCCTTCTCCCAAGTGTCTGGGGGGGGGGTGGTCCCTACCAGTGCACTCTCTACCCCTGAAACCTGGGGTCTGTGGCCCGAGGGGTCCCCTCTGTCCCCAGGGGGTAGCTGGATGTCCCCATCTGCCCTTGGGGATGACGATCCTGGGGCAGGGAGGGGAAGGTCCCCCTTTGCTCAGGAGGTTGGATGTCCCCCCCGTCCCCAGGGTACCTCCTTGCCTGAGGTGCCCCAGTGTAGAGGTCCCCAGCTGCCCCCCTGGTCCTTGCTGGAGGAGGTCACTGGGGTGTCTCTGTCCTGGGGGGTTGCCAGAGGTTGAGGTCCCTGCCTGGGGACCCTCTGTGTTTGAAAGGGGGGAATTCCTGCTGACCTGGGGGATTCCTGCTGGCCCTTGGTGGTGGTGGTGTCTCCTGTTGGCTCCTGATTGCCCCTGTTTCTCCCACAGAGGGTTCCCATCGGCCGGGGAGACGAGGTTCCTCTCCACCTGTCCCAGAGTTTGGGGGCTCCCAAATGCCCTGTGACCCTGTTGAGAGTGGGGCATCCTCTGCCCTGAAAAGGGGGTGTCCCTCTGCCCTGGGGGAGGTCCCTCTGGCACCAGGGAGTTGGTGGGTCCCCGTCTGCTTCTGAGTGGCCCCTCTGCCCTGGGGATGAGGGTCCCTGCCTGCCTTGAATGGTGTAGGGGGTTGTGGGGTCCTGACATGTCCACCCGGACGTCCCCACATGCTCCAAGAGTTCGGGGGGTTCCTGCCTGCCCCCAGTGGTCCTACTGGCTCTCAGGGGTCCCACCTGTCTAGGGGAGCAGGGGGGGAGTGGGGAGAGAGGGGCAGATGGGACTATCTGCCTTGGGGAGTGGAGGTCCCCAGCTGGATCCCCATGGATCCCTGCTTGGGAAGGGGGACACATAGCCCTCGAAAGGGAGGGGACAGGGGTCCTTGGCCCAGGGGGTGCTGGGCAGGGGTCCCCACAGGGTTCCCTACTGAGGTGGGCCCTCTGCCCTTGTATCTTGGCTCAGGGGTTACCCTGTGGCACCATGGGGTGGAGGTCCCTGTATGTCCTCAGGGGTGTCTGCCTGGGGACATTCCACCCTTGAAGGCACTGGGTGTCCCTAGCTGGAGTATTCCCACTGATCCTGGGGAACGGAGGGTGGAGAACCCCTGGTCTGGGGGTTCCCTCTGGCCCCATGGGGAAAGAGCAGGGTCCCCTGCCTGCCTCAAGGGGTGGAGGTCCATGACTGTCCCCAGGTGGGGGGAACCTCACCTGCCTTGGGGAAGGGTGGTTTTTCTCCCTGTCCCAGCAGCTGGAGGTCCCCATGTACCCCTCCCTGGTGTCACCACATGCCCCAGGGGGTGAAGGTCACTGCCAGCCCCAGGGGTCCTGACTGCTCTGGGGTTTGGTGAGGGGTGAGATATCAAACCAACCCCAGGCTGTCACACCTTCCTGATTGATCTGGGAGGGGGCGTCCCATCTGCTTTTGGGGGTTCCTGCCTGCTCCAATGGTGACCTCATCTGCCCCCAGAGGTCTGGGAGTCTACCCGAGAGGCTGGAGGTCTCTGCCTGTCCTGGACAGTGGGAGGGGGTAGAGATTCCCAAGTACCCTCCCTAGGTGGGGAGTGTGTGTGGGAACTGGGGGCTCCTGCCTTCCCTGGGAGGATGATGGGGATGGTGAGGATGAGGATGGCGAGGACAATAACGATAGTGAAGATGATGAGGACGGCGAGGATGATGGGGATGGTGAGGATGATGAGGCCAGTGAGAATGATGATGATGAGGCTGGTGAGGATGAGGCTGATGAGATCTGCCCCCCTTGCAGGTGTTCCGGGTGGAGGTGCTGTGCGATGGCCGGCGGCACACGGTGACCAAGCGCTACAGCGAGTTCCAGGCACTACACAAGCGGGTGAGACCCCCTGGCTCTGCCGGAAGGGGACACAGGGAGGGGACACGAGGAGGCCCAGCCTCATCCTCCCTGGCCCATACTGCCCTGATGCCCTCCACGCTCCACTCCAGATCAAGAAGATCTGCAAGGTGCCCGACTTCCCCCCACGCCATGTCCCCCACTGGATGCCCAAAGCACTGGAGCAGCGCCGGCAGGGCCTGGAGCTCTACCTGCGGGTGAGGTGCGCACAGCGGTGGGGTGGGGTGGGTGTTTTGGGATGCTGACCTGTCCTGGGCCACGGTAGGGTGTCCTGTACCACAACAAGGAGCTGCCCCAGGATGTGCTGGACTTCCTGAAGGTGCGGCGGTGCCAGCAAGACCCCAAGGCCAGCAGCCCCTCGTGAGTAGATGAGTTACTGGTACCACGGTTATCCCGTACGGCACTGGGATCATCCCCCCGACTTGTGCGAAGCACCCCAGGACACGGGGTTGGGGATGACGGGGACAGGCTAGGGGCTGATATCCCCTCTCCCATGGCAGCAGACTCCTGCCTTCCCAGCGCCCTGTCATCGGCTTCTGCTCCGATCCATACGTGGGGCTAGGTGACACTGGTAAGGAGCAGGACCACAGAGAAGGTCCCCAAAACCTCCAAAAGGCTCTCCTGGGTCCCTAAAAGATGTTTTTCCTTTAATGGGGCTCAGGAGGGAACCAGCTGCTCCAGCTCCCTCCTCTCCTTGCAGATCTGCTCCCCAACACTGTCCTCACTGGGGTCTTGCAAGGCCTTTACCTCCCTCCAAGCTGCACCCCCGGCCAGGCAGTGCCTTGAGCCCCTGGAATGCCAGGCTCCCAGGCACCCACCCAGCTCCCAGGGCTGCAGTGGTGAGGAAAAGATCCTCACCTGTGGTGAAAATGACTCCTCCCCACTGGACTGGGGCAGGAAAACTGGGTGGGAGAACCCAAGGGGACAGTGGGAGACACAGCTGCTCTCCCGCCACCATCCAAAGTGCCTTTTCTGAGAGAGTAGGAGCTCTGCCTTCTTCCCAATATTTTGGGGTTGTGTTGGAGCCTTTGGATGCTGAACCATGCTGGAAAACCCCTCTGCATCTGGCTTTGGTACAATAAATCTCTTGGATTTCACTGCCTGGCAAAGTGCTGTGCTGTGGAATTCTGTGAAGCAAACCTGGGGCCAACTGTGGCACTGCTCCCAGCTGGATGGGATGTAGAAGGGAGATGGAAGGCTGATGGGTGCACACAGGTGAGGGATGGGAAGGGATCTGCACCCCCATGAAGGTAGGAGAGAGGCAGCTCTTTAAAAAACACATTGGTCACATTTATTGGAGCATGTGCTTCTTACAAAAGTGATGGAAGAGGAGCCCGTGCCCCGTCCCACTGGCTGGGAGAGGGGCCTGGGCAGTGGGACACAGCAGGACCCCGTGGCTGCTCCCCTGCCCCAAGAGTGGGGCAGCCCCAGGCCCGTGGCCCCCTCATGCCCCAGCAGGTCCCCGGTGCCGGCCCTGCCACCCCCACTGGTCCCTCACTCTTTGGCGATGGCAAAGGGCTTCTCCACCTCGATGGTGCCGCAGTCAACGATGGCAACGTCCTTTAGGGGCTTGTCCCGGCTGTCGGTCTTCGTGTTCTCCACCTTCCGCACCACGTCCTGGGTGGAGGGGAGGTGTGAGAGTAGGACACACAGGCAGAGACAGCTTGGCCAACCCCTGTCCCTCTCCAGGTGCCTCCCAGCCCATTCGCCTGCCCAGTCCCACTCTCCCTGGCCCCCTTTTCCCCCTGGGCCCTCACCATGCCCTCCAGCACTTTGCCAAACACCACGTGCTTCCCGTCCAGCCACGGCGTCTTCACGGTGGTGATGAAGAACTGGGAGCCGTTGGTGTCCTTGCCAGCATTGGCCATGCTCACCCAGCCTGGCCCATAATGCTTCAGCTTGAAGTTCTCGTCAGGGAAACGGTCCCCATAGATGCTTTTTCCTAAGGGTGGGGACAAAAAGGCAGTGTTGGGGTGATGATGGTGGTGGGGGAACGAGCACTTCCACAGTAGGGATGAACACCAATGCCACAGGGAACCATGAGCTATGGGCTGCTGGAGGGAGCTGGAAGCCCCCCATGAGCTGGGCAAGGAGGGTCATGCCCCCAGGGACCAGAGCAGGAGGCTCCCAGCACCCCAGTTACCCCAGCACCCAGCTCTGCTCTGAGGCCAGGTCTTTATGAACTCCATGCCCACTCATTCCTACATTGCTCCAGCTCCACACTGGTTCCAGGGCAGCCAGGCAGCTGTTGGGAACGTGGCTTCTGCTTCACTCCCAGACAGTGGCTGGATTGGGCCAAGTTACCTCCAGTGCCGTCACCGCGGGTGAAGTCTCCTCCCTGAATCATGAAGTCCTTGATCACACGGTGGAACTTGCTGCCCTTGAAGCCAAATCCTTTCTGGAAGTGGGGAGGCAGAACACGGAGTGAGGCAAAGGGACGGCCCAGAGCTCCCTGCACCCAGCACTGCCCCAGGTCAGTAGGAGCCTCCCAGGGGCCGGTGAGGCCCAGGGGGCCGTGGGCCCCTCACCTCTCCGGTGGCCAATGCCACAAAGTTCTCCACTGTCTTGGGCACTGTCTTGCCAAAGAGCCCAATGACGACACGGCCCACATCCTCCTCCCCAATCCGCAGGTCGAAGAACACCTTGGGGGGTGCAGGAAGGTTAGGAGGACACCACGGGAGCCACACTCACCTTGTTGGGCCAACCCACCTCCCAAAAGTCCCACTCACCCAGTCCAACCAGGCCCAAAATCTCACTGGGTCCGGTCTCCCCCGCCTCCCTGCCTGCATCCCCTCACCCCACAATCTCAGCTGGGCTCCTCCAACCCAGGCCTTCAGCCCAGGCCTCTCCCACCCCATCTAGGATCTCCTCACCCCACGGTCCTTCCTCCTCACTCCAAGCTGGGCCTCCCCCACCTCAGCTCCCCCCAAGCTGGGCCAAGTTGCCTCCAGGCCTCCTCCGCCCATCCCAGACCCCCCCATCCCAGCTGTCCGTCCCTCCCAAGCCCTCCTCCCTCACGGCCTCCCACCACACCCTCCCCTCCCCTCCATCCCGGCCCCCTCAGCCCCAGACACCCCTCAGCCCATCCAGGTCCCCCTCACCCCAACAACCCCGTCGAGGCCTCCCCCGCCCCATCCGCGTCCCCCACGCCGGCTCCGGCCCGGCCCCCCCCGACCTTGGCGGTGACCTTGGGCCCCTTCTTGCGCTCGTCGGCGCGGGAGGCCGCGGGCAGCAGGAGCAGGAGGGCCGCGCCCAGCGCCGCCGCCGCCACCAGCACCTTCATCCTGCGCCGCTCGCAGCCCGGCCACAGCGCCCGCCGCGCCGCCGGCATCCGGCCACGCCCGCCGCGCACCCCCACCCGCGCCGCGCGGTGGTACCGCCCTCGCTGCCGCCTGCCCGCTCCGCCCGCCCGGGCGCGACCAACAGCGGCCGCGAGGGGGGGGGAGGTGGCGCCTTCCGGCCGGGCGGGGCGCGGGCGGCTGCCACGTTGCCCCTCGCTGAGCGGCCGCGGCGCTGTCAATCAAGAGCGGGCTGGCGTGATGATAGGACGTCGTAGGGAAGAAGGCGGGAGAGGGGCGGGGCCGAGGGGTGTCGGCGGCCAATGTCGGCCGGAGAGCGGAGGGCGGGGTGTGAGGGCAGCCGGGGCCCGTGAGCCGAGGTCGGTGTGTCCCGGTGTCCCTCCCCCGAGGCCCCCTGGGGCGGTGTCCCCAAGGCCACTGTGTCCGGTGTCCCCCCGAGCCGGTGATCCGGGGCCGTTGTGTCCCCGGTGTCCCCGGGTCCGGTGTCCCCAGGGGCAGGGGGACACTGAGCGGCCAAAACAAAGGAGCGCTCGATCCCCCCGGGAGGCCGAGCAGTGCCCCGGTGCAGCCAAATGGCTGCGAGTCAGTGTCAGTGAGCAGAACGGCGTTATAAAGATGCCACCCGAGAGCCAAACAGCACCTTTGGAGCAGCTGTCACTGTCCCCACACAGGGAGAGCACTTGAACAAAGATGTTCCCGTGCTTGGAACCTGCTCCACGCTGGAATCGCTCTTGGGACACTTTCCCCCCCACTTCCTAGCCTTAAATGTAGCTTTTTTTAGTATGAGCTCTCATTGCCTGTTCCCAAAAATTGGTTTTTGGGATACATGTGCTCTGGCAAGGATACAAACCCCAAGCATCTCCTCCCTGGCCCTTAGAACCTGCGACTTCACCTTTGAGGTTTGTCTTTTGGGGGACTGACACTGACACTAAATAAAGCTGACACTAAATTTAGCTGACACTAAATAAAAACGTAATCCCCACATCTTCAACTAACTCCAGGATTTGTAATCACAGATCAGTTTGGGTTGGAAAGGACCTTTAAAAGTCCAACTCCTGCCATGGGCAGGGACATCTTCAGTGATGGTGCTAAGCTGCAACACCACAGTCACTCCTGTGTGCTTCCAGCCTGGTCACTCCTGCTATTTAAGAGGATTTGGGCTTCTCTCACTCCCTTTTTCAGTTTTTATCCCACAGCCTGATCCACTCTTCAGTCTTGCCAGGGGAAGAGGTGAGGCGGGCAGGTCCCAGCACCCCTTTCCTGTGGTCCCTCTCAAGGGTTGCCCCAGGACAAGGCATCCCATTACCCAGGACAGCTGAACTGGCAATGTGCAGCCACAGGGAGAAGGGAAATCAGTGCCACCATGCCTTGGCCAATCTGCGGGGCCAAACCATCCATGGCTCAACACGAAGTTGTTGAGAGGGTCCTGCCAGGTCCCACCCCCTGCACCGTCCCCTCCAAAGAGGGCTCAGTGCCCAGCGGAGCCAAAGGAAGACAAAACACAAGCGCAGTGCTCAGGCTGAGGTAATAAATACGTCTATTCATGGAGAACAATGCAGCAGTGCAATGTTTTATTGAAAAAAAATAATAATAATCATCTCACTTGATACCTCAGAAGACTGCATCGCAACGTTGGCGGGCTGAGCCGCAGAGAGACACGTCGGAGACCAGCCCAACCCCCAGGGAGCCCCCAGAGAGCCCCCTCCCCTCCAACCCCAGGGTTTCCCCGCTCTGACCGCTCCCAGCAAGGAGAGGAGGGTTTGCCCAGGTTAATGCCCTGCGTCCTACCACAGCATGGCTGGCTCAGTCTGGCTGCATCTCCTCGTCACCTCTGAGCTCCCTGGGGACAGCGGTTCCCTCAAGAACGGGACTTGCTGTTAACCTGCTTTATTTGCCTTTTTTTTTTTAATTTTTTGTTAAAAAGCCACCCCACATCTTTGCCCTTTTTTTTTTGAAGAGTCCAACGTACGATTATAGTGCAAGAGGGCTTGGTACAAGTGAGCATTACCAGCATGCCGTGGGGGGACAGTCCTCCCCTACAAACACATCATCGTAGGATTAAAAGAACATCATATCTCTGGAGAGAAGCCGTAGTGGGTCACCATGAAACAGCTTTCAAACCAACCCACTTAAAACCAAGGTCAGGAAAGTTTCTAAACAATCAAATACATTCACTTAAAAAAAAAAAAAACTGAAACAAAAGAAACCAAAAACATTTAAGAACAAAACCTGTTGAGATGGCCCCTTTCCCCCCCGCCCTCCCTCACCCTGCAAACACTTACATATGCTGCAACTACAAGCTGCTCCTTGAGTGGAGGCAGCGAGGAATGACCAAACACGGCAGGAGATGCAGAAGGAATCGAGTTCTGGTGACAGGCACTTAGTGGGGCTTGGGAGGGCAGCAACAGAAGTGTCTCAGGGCCTGGCTCCATCTGCAGCGGGCAGGGCGGCTCCCGAGGAGCTCCCATGCCCATGGACCCTCCTCCCAAGATGCCAAACCATGGTTTCCTACAGCAGAGAGGGGAACGCCTGTGCCAGAGACAGATACAGGGCTCCTGGGAGCCCCTGGCAGCAGAGGAGTTTGGGAAGAGAAAGGTGGAACGTGGCCACGGTCCCTGTCCTCCCTCTGGCGGGAGGGGACAAGAGGGTGAATGTCCCGGCGGGAGGTGAGGGGTCCCCTTCCTGCCTCCTTCCTGCCTTGGCCCACAGCATGGCTGGAGGAAAGCGCTTTGCAAAGGGAAAAAGGGGTGCATGTGTGAGCTGAGAGCTCCTTGGGATAAGGCATGGAGAGAACATGGCCAAGAGACACCCCGGGGGATCCCGGTGAGGAGCGAGGCCTTTCTGCTCTAACCAGTGTCCTGCCTGTCTCAGGGATGCACGAGGAGCAAGCCCAGAGCTCCCTGCCCAGGGCGATCTCCTGCCCTCTACACCCACTTCTACCCAGCCCGGGGAACTGAACCTCCTGGGAATGCCACTCTGTGAACTCCAAGCTATGCAGATCATCATTAAAACAAATAAAAGATAATGAGATCTAGTCTCTCCCTTTCCTCCCTTCATGCTCTCCAGGATTTTGGGGTGAGCTAGGCCCCAGTTTATGACAAGCAAGTCCCTCAAGTGAACAGTCCCTGCCTGGTCTGGTGTCATATATCGAAAGACTAAGTCCAAGGAGCTTATTCACATTGTTCCCAACAGCTGCTCGAGTTCTCCCACAGCCCTGCCACCTCCTGGGAACCCCTGGGCAGCCTCAGCCTCCTCTGATTTGGGAAACACTGCAGCAGGAGGCAAGATTTCCTTGTTTTTACGGGTGTGCAGAGTGCCCCAAGCCCTTTCCTTGCTATTGGTTTGGCTCAAAGTGGTGCAGAACCGTGGCTGCTCTGGGGGGTGGGACGGTGTCCCCCACTCCCAGCCCCACGCTCATGGAGAGGACATAAAGGCTATTCCAGTCAAACCTATCTGACCATCGGGAAATGGGATCAGTGTTAAGGCATGAAGTATCCTCTCCCTGCCAGGGAAGCTTTGCTCCTGCTAAGGTGTTCTCACAGAAGGTTCACAACCACCCCACAGAGGGATTTGGGAACGCTGCCCAGCTGCCCACACTTTGGGAAATGGCTGCTTCCCAGGAACCTCAATCCAGATCTACCTCTTAAACCAGCACAAATTCCTCTGGCTCAGCAAAGCCGATGCCACTCCCTCCTGCCAACACCGGGTGACGGCCTCGCGTCTCCCAGCCAGCTGGGTCAGGCACGGCATAGGAAACCATGGAAGGGACATTCACCGGCAGCTAGGAAGGGTGAGTGGAAATTCAAGTATGCTTTCCTCAGCGTGTGCCCCAAGGCGGACGTTGGGAGCCCCAGCCTGGCACGAGGGTCCTGGACATCCCCACTCGAGGGCATTCTGTGCATCCACCGTCTTCCCCGCTGGATGTCTGCCTGCGCTGGCGCGGCCACGGAGAGATCCACAGATACAATGTGCATCTGTAAATGCTAAAAATAATAAAAAGTGCAACGACGTCAGCTTCTTTAAAACAATCCACATTGCTCTGTTACCGTCAGAGGAGGGAGGTGTCAAGGGAGCCGGAAAAAAAACCCTAACTGGAACAGTAGATTGCAAATTTCTCACAGCTTGCACATTACAGTGTAACTGTTCCCAAGGAGCCGCAGAGGGAACCTGTCTCTTCCTGCTGCAGCGGTCAGGCCCTTCTCCCAGCAACTCTCCTGCCTGCCTCACATCCTCCTGCCCTCTCTACAGCCAATCAATCCTATTGGATTTCTTCACTTAATTAAGGAGGGAGGAGGACGGAGGAGCACAGAGCGCAGGGGAGGGAGGGGAGGAAAGTGAGCAGGAACTAAGCACAGTCCTCAGGTTTGCGTGAACGATGCCTTCGCCGTAAACAAGGGGAAGGAGGGTCAGCCAGCCAGCCCCCCTCCCAGGGCGACCAAGACCTGAGCCAGCCACAGTCCTGGTCCCAAAAGGAGCTTCAGGCTTGGAGTGAACGAGGGAGACCATTCAGCAGATCCACCCCAGAGTGGTTTGTTTTGGAACGTTTTCTTCTCTTTTTGGTTTAAAATGTCACTTGTTTTTTTTTTTTTGTTTGTTTTTTTTTTTTTTTGTTTTTGTTTTGTTTTGTTTTTCTCTCTTCCTCCTCTGCCTCATCCTCCTCCTCCTCCCCCCTAAAGAGAAGCCCCTTCCAGTGATTCAGGGCAGGAGCTGCAGGCGCGGTGGTTCCTGCAAGGCCCAGGAGGCACCGGTCACTTGTGACGCTGAGCCGTCTTCTTCCGTTTCCTCTTAAAGAAGCAGCAGCACCTGGGACACAAAGGACAAGGAGAGTCAGCCCCATGCCCAGCACCAAGTCCTGGCAACCCCAGGAAGTCCACACTGCCCCGGGGTCCCTGTGTTGGCCACATGCAACAGCACCTCTGCTCGACAGGCCCGGACACACCTTTGGCCCCTGGAATGGTCAGCAGGGGCTGGTGGATGGTGATCCCACCAGCCCAGACTGGGAGACCACCAGTGAGCCGTGTGGTGAGGGGATCCACCACCGGGCCCCTGAGCTGGCTGGGCTTCTCCCTCCCAAGGCTTTACGGGGGCAGGAACACAAGGAGCCATCTGGGAAAGCAGTAAATCAGTATCCAGGTGCTCTGTTCC